TAAAATTTGTAGTTTTTCTATATAAAACTTTTTTTTTTACTAAGATAATCTACTTTTGTCTTTTAAGTAAACTTGTTTAGAATAAAATTTTACATTATATTAGTAAAAAAAAATTTCCAAGCCAAAATTTTGTGACAAAACGTGTGACTGTTATTCAATTTTTCGTTTATGAAACCTCCTTTCGCTAAGTTAGAAACGTTTCGCTATTGCCCTTCCCTAACTCTAATGTAGCCCTGACCCTAACCCTAAACTAGCGCGCAAAGAGTTTGTTTTGATTTTCATGTTACACAATCAGGGACTACTAACTGTTAAGGGTAGCGATAAATCGCATATGCGAAAAAAATTAAATTTCTATTTTATTATTCATTATATTAGGGTGTCTAATAATTAACTTTTTGAATTTTTAAATAGTAAAGTCAGAAAATAAAATAAGAGTGTCGGAATTATAAAATCAGTAAACTTTTTATTTTAATATCATAAAATCTATCAGTATTTTTATTATTATTAAAATCTTCGCTTAAATTTTTCAAGGTTATTTTACGTAAATTATTTAATATTTAACATTCTTTACCAAATTGTTAATAATTTAAAATGCCACACAAAGAGAACTTTTAAACAAACGACTAAAAAACAAAAACTTATGATGGTTTTGTTTATTGAAAATCGAGCTATTATTGATAGTGGCGCACCTATAACAAAAAATGCAGGTTTTGTGCAAATAGCTTTATTTGTAAATAGACTCTGGAAATTAACTGAAAAATCAGGTTGAGGACTAGTATTAATACAAATTAGAAGAATTGTGCCTATATTATAGTCGAATTGATGCAATATATGGGGTCAGTCAATAGAAATCAAGCAAATTGTTTTTATTGAAATTTTTTTTTAAATGAATTCTACAATTTGTAATATTTATTTTAAAAAATTTTTTATTAATTTTAATAAAGTTTTTGTTAAGTTATTGTTGGTTAAAGTTTTAAAAAAATCTACTTAGAAAAATTTGCTTGATTTCTATTGACTCAACCCCATATGGTAAAAAACAAAATATTCAACCCTCTTTTCTTGAAACTTTCAACTTAGATAATAGAAGAAATATTAGATAGTATGTAAAATTTAATTGTATAAAATATTTGAAAAATTATTAAATTAAATAAGTTATATCTATATATTATTTTTAGGGAATTAAAAGATTTTTAAATTTTGAACGAAGCTATCCAACAACTACCCAATCAAATTCGATGAAATTTTTTTTGTTCGAATTATACATATCCATAGAATTCAAACAAAAAAAATTTCGTCGAATTTGGTCAGGCAGTTGCCGAGATATCTTCACTCAAAGTTAGTAAACAATTCAAAACGTCTATTAAATAGAAGTTGCGCCAGATTTTTTTTAAAACTTTGAGCGAAGATATCTCGACAATCACTTGGCAAAAATCAATTAATTTTTTTTTGTTTTAATTCTACGAATCTCTAGAATTTGAATAAAAAAAATTTTCATTAAATTTGATCAGGTAGTTGTCGAAATATCTTCGCTCTAATTTAGTAAATAATTCAAACGTCTATCAAAATAGAAGCTGCGCCAAATTTTTTTTAAAAATTTTAGTGAAAATATCTCGACAACCACCTGATCAAATCCATAGAATACAAATAAAAAAAATTTCATCAAGTTTGGTCAGGTGGTTGTCGAGATATCTTCGCTCAAAGTTTTAAAAAAATTTTGCGCAGCTTCTATTTTGATAGACGTTTGAATTATTTACTAACTTTGAGCAAAGATATCTCGACAATTACCTGACCAAATTCAATGAAAATTTTTTTTATTCGAATTCTAAAGATTCATAGGATTCAAATAAAAAAAAATTCATTGATCTTGGTCAGGTGGTTTTCGAGATACCTTCGTTCAAAGTTTTAAAAAAAATCTGGCGCAGCTTCTATTTAATAGACGTTTTGAATTGTTTACTAACTTTGAGTGAAGATATCTCGACAACTGCCTGATCAAATTCGATGAAAATTTTTTTGTTTGAATTCTATGGATCCGTAAAATTCGTACAAAAAAGAATTTCATCGAATTTGATCAGGTAGTTATCGAGATATATTCGTTCAAAATTTAAAAATCTTTTAAATTTCTAGAGGGGTATGAATATCAAATTTGGGGGTACAAACATTAATTCTCTATTTTTATAGATGATAATATGATAATAATAATCAAGTTCAAAATGAAAATGAATTAGATGATAATATATGTATATATTTATGCATATTTTTTTTTAAATTTTTTAAATAAAATTAAAACTTGCTATATTATAAAAAAAAGATAATAGATAAAAAAAAGATAATAGATAAAAAAAAGATAATAGATAAAGTGAAAAAACTTCATTATCTTTTATATTAGATAAATTTAGTTTCAATAGTGAAATTGAAAAAGGTATTTTATAAATTATACAAGTCATTTTTGTTATAGTAAAATAATTGAATTAGAAAAAAATATTTACTATAATTTATATCGAGAGAATACTATTATATTAAGCGAAGAGTTAATATAATGACAAAAAATTCTTCACTATAACAAAATAATATATATTAAAAATAAAATTTCTTTAGCTAATACTGTATATATAAACTATTTTATTTTTAAAAAGGTAAGCAATAATTTATATAATTATGATTTAAATAATAATATTATTGATGAAGAAGATAATTTAGCAGTATTATATATTTATTTAAATGTTTAATTTTATTTAATTTATTACTAAAATTTAATTTAAATATCCTTAAATTAAATTAATAAATAACAGTATTCACGCTATTTATTGAGCTGATAATTGATAAACTTGAATCTATTTAGATATTTAAGTGAGTTTGTATATATTTAAACTAAAATAGGCTATTGTAAATTTAAATTCTTACAGGAAGCAGTGCAATTGTTTAATTTCATTCATAGAGCTGTGTTAATCAAAGAACTTAATGGTCTGCTGCTATATATTGCTTGTGCTTTTATTTTTCTGATAGGCGCCTGTGTTTCAATGTCTGGGAAACATATTTCTTTTCTACCTTCCTTATCACGAATATCATCAATAGACTTTTCAATACCTTTAGAACATGGTCTATTTAAAAGATTAGCATCCCAATTTTCCATTAAATTAATATAAATCTCGGTAAGTTGGTAATAATTTCAGGGCGAAAACCATTAAGAATATCCAGAATAAGATATTTATCATGATTGCGATCAGAAAAAGGCTTTGACCAGTCATCATTTATGACATAATTATTCCAAAACTATAAATATCTGAAGCTGCGGTATATTTTTCGCCCTTAAATATCTCGGGTGCAATATACGGAATTATTCCATATATCTCTTCCCCATCTGTTGAAGTATTTTCTGGTTTGCTTATTCCCAAAATATCATATTTTTATTCTCCGTAAAGAATTATCAACAAGTATATTACCACAATGAAGATCTTGATGAATAATTTGTTTGCTATGAATTTTATCGAGTCCTTTGGCGATATACTTTAGCATATAATCCAGGATAAAGTAAGAAAGTTTTTTGAAATATAATTATGAACATTGAAAATAATTTTTTAACTAAAACAAGTTAATTAGTAAACATTAATATTAACAAGTTCTGTTAATGTATATAACAGTGATAATACAAACCTCATTTAAAAAATCATGACATATTTTCTGAATCTTTTTAAGATGTTTAAGAATAACTATATCCTTATTATAACTAATTCTAAAATTTCTCTCTCGAACACTCCATTGACTTTTAGGTTAATACATGATGTTTTATATATTTCGCTAAATCCGTCTTTAGAAATATATTTAATATCACTAAA